ATTTTCAAAAGTATGATTTTTTAAATAGGAATTTATATTAAATACACCTGATATTGAAGCAATGAAATTTTGGGTTGGGTAAATATGAAATAGAATTTTGTTATTTATTAGAATAAATAAAATATTTAGTAATTTGGGTTATCATGCAACACATGCTACTGTTTATGCTCAACTTTATACAAATAATGAATGTTATGGTCTTCATTCATTTGTTGTTCCTATTCGGTAAAATTTTTATTTTAAATAAACATTGTTAATTAATAAAAAAAAAAAATTTAATTTTTTCTTAAAGTGATCCATTAACATATAAAACATTTGATGGTGTTGAAGTTGGTGATATTGGAGGAAAATGTGGATGGAATGGTCTTGATAATGGGTATGTTATTAATACAAAAATAAAAATTATTAATAAATTAATATATATAAACTTTTTATTTTTAGCTTTTTAATCTTTCGAAATTATCGTATTGCAAGAGAAAATCTACTTAATAAACATGCTGATGTTTTACCTGACGGAACTTACAAAACGCCATTTAAAGTAAATAAAGATTATTTTGAAAAATTTTCAATTGATTTTAAAATTCATTATTTTTGCATCAAATAAGAATAAGGGTGTGGGTGTGGGTGTGTGGGTGTGAGTGTGGGTGTGGGTGTATGTAATTAAAGACAAAAGGAACACCCACAATCTTGACGATGATATTTTAATAACTAATTGATAATTGACTGTTATTTTTATTGTATGATGCGTTGAGTAGATTCAGAACCAACCGAAAGGGCTCTATTAATCGACCTCTCAATACATTCTCAAACAATGGCTAATCGAGAAATTACCTCAAAAAAAAAGGGACATATGAAAATGCTGAAGTTCGATATGTTCAATAGAGTTAGTTGTATGCACCTGTACAGGCAAAATAAAATGGTCTATGAATGTTTCGTAGATAGACTAACGACACATTTTATTTTAGTATTTATCATTGATCAACATAAAGAAAATCCAAGATCCCTTTCATTCTTTATTAATTTCAGTTTTTAATTGTGTGCTATTATCGTATACTCATCTTCATTATTCTAAAGATTAAACATTGATCAGTTGTCTAGCAAAATGTTCGAGAGCAATTTGGTTAAGAAAAATATATTGAAGAACACTTAAAACTGTATACATTATTTACTTAAAATCTTCATTATCTTGAAAATTAGATTTCGTAAATTATCTGTCAATCAATGGATTGGTGTACATCTTTCAATAAGACATCATAATGTTGTTAAGATTTCTTCTTCGATAGTATAAACTATCGAAATATCAAAAAATTATACTTAATTTTCGAAAGTCTTTAGGACATTTTTTTTTAAATATTTGTCATGATTAATTTTTGTTCAATTATTTTCATGATGATATTAAATTCAATTGAAAATAAGTTAAAAATCAATTCATTCTAATTCAATAAGATTGAGTCTCAATGGTATTATTACTACTACTTATAGTTAAAAATTCAAATTATTAGATTATAACTTATTTAATATTTCGTCTTTTTTTTTTTTTGTTTTTTGTTTATCATTTAGTCATCAAATAAACGATTTGGTGCAAGTCTTGGTGCACTTTCAACAGGTCGTGTTGGTATAAGTAGTTTATCTATTGGTTTATTAATTAAATGTATAACAATTGCTGTTCGATATTCATGTGTTAGAAAACAATTTGGACCATCAACTGGTGTAGAAATTCCTGTGATTGAATATCAAACACAAGTAATTTTGATGAAACACAATCTGATACGAGTGTTAAAGTACAAGGCTAGAAATTTGAAACGACCTTTGTCATGACACACATCACTAAAGGACCATCACGAACCGTGACAAACATCACTAGAAAAAAAAACCATGACAGACATCTTTAGTAATGCCCTTCTCTATCATAACCTATGATGAACTTAATCTTACAATTAAAGTCTTCTGTGAAAAATGATTGAATTTAAGATTGATTTCTTTTTCAAAATCTCAAACTGAAACATAAGAATTATACTAACAGCTCTCTTGTTTTTTTTTTTTATAGAATTGGCGTTTAGTTCCCATAGTTGCATCACTTTATATTTATCGACATTTAGCATTGTCTGTATTTGATAATTTTACTGAATTCTATGTCTTATCAATGTCATCGGATGAAAATGATCAAAATTTACTTGCTGATATGGGTAGAGAAATTCATGCTTTATCATGTACATGTAAAGCTATATGTACATGGAATACACAAAAAGCATGTCAAGAATGTCGAGAAGCATGTGGTGGTCATGGTTATTTATATGGTAAATCAAAAAAAAAAAAAAATAACGAGATTTGAAAATTTTAATTAGAATTTTCTTTTTTTTTTTTTATTATGTTCTTCTAGCTAGTGGTTTTGGTATTATAAGAGATGATAATGATCCATCATGTACATTTGAAGGAGATAATAATGTTTTATTACAACAAGGATCGAATTATATTTTATCGAATTATGAAGATTTATATAAGAAAAGTAAAGATTCTTATAGGAATAAAATAATTGAAATTTTTGTTTTATTATAGATATATCAGTGAATAGTCCATTTCATAGTGCTGATTTTATAGAAAAAATAAATATTATTCTTCAAAATAAACAATGTTCAATTACACCAGAATGTCATCTAAAAGGTAAAGAATAAAATTAAATTATAAATAATACTTTTCAATTAATTAATACAAAAAAATAGAAGTAACCCAATAGGAAAGAATTTTAAGTTTAGCTATCGTAGATATACATACAATGAAATAAATAATCTAAAAACTGAAGGACTACAACTCAACGATATTCAGAAATATCCGAACTTTAGGATGATTTTGCAATTGCTCAAGAAATGTTTGGACAATCATTTAAATACTTGACATTGTCAGAAATGGTTAGATAACTTCTGAGTTCGGGTTTGGCGCACGTCTAATATCAGGTGATTAAACTTTTAGAGAACTATAATTTGAAGTTTTATTTAAGATAAAAACTATTAAAATAAAGTTCAAATAATAGGTTTTTTTTGTTTGTAATGCAATTAGTTTGACAAAATATGTTAAAAGGACTTGAATGATATTG